CTGTGAAGAAACGCATGCAGTATCAGTCGTGAAAAAGGTGACCACTGGCTCCCAGTTGTGATTACGGAGGAAATAAGTGCGATCTCTATCCTCTTCCCTCCCCCCACCCTCCCTCTATCCAACGGAGGCGGGGTGTTCACCTCTCAGATAGGAAATGCACTGGAAAAAGTGCGACGCTGATACACAGATGCTTAATGTTGTCCACTATCTGGAATTAGGATCGCGACACTTGAACAAGCGGAAAAAAATGTAATCGTGTGAAAAAACAGCTCTGCAGGCCGGACAATCACACCAAAGCGAAAGTAGCACCAAGTGGGGGTGGTGTGGGAGCGTCGGGATGCAGGATAAGGGCACCTTTACGGGTGCAGCGATCTCCAGCCCGGCCGGCAAAAGAAGGACAAGCTTTAACTAATACCGGATTCCGACCGCCACAAAGGGGATTTTTCGTGCAAATAGTTCAGAGAAGAGTACCGCCTTAGGCATGAATCGGCCGTCCAGACAGGTGGGCGGGAGAGACTACAGGCAAAAGATCGCACCATCTTCCTCGGCTTTATGACAGGATCTGAACTTTTTTACGTCGTGAAGAAGAAGTGCCGACACATGGGACAAAGACAAAGGCCGCCTATAAGGGGTTTAGCTAATGAATCTCCGACTGCTGACAGAAAAAATAAGATCTTCTTAACATCGAGGCAGCTTCTCAGGCGTCTCGCATCTTGCGTTATATTTCGACCAACGTCCTGGGAGAATTTATTCTTGTACAGCAGTATGACCAGCTTAATACGGATTCCTGACGAATTGACCTGATAACTACAAGTTTGGCAGTCCCTACAAACGGCGCAGTATAAAGATCAAATTGTGTTTTATGAGAAGGATGGCTGCATCGCCCTCCTCTTCATCGACAGAAATAACGTGAAATATGGGATTATAATGCCCATAATTAAAATAGCAATTGAGAAGAGGTTTGAAGGTCATGGTGGTTCCTCACAAAATGGATGCGTTAAAAACGCATTCATCAGTTTCATCGTCTGTTACACAAGCCGCGTCCTAGGGTTCCGAGATTGGCGTGACCAATAGGTAGTTGCGTTGTGGCAACAACGAGGATTCACGGTTTAGGGTGTTGTGTGGCACATCTAGGCAATGGTCGACCCCATGAATTGGGAACCGAAATTCTTAAATTTTTCTATTAGAAAAGGTCAGTGAAGTATGGCTCGGAAATTAATTATTGTGCAGTCTTATCCCACAATATTTCAGTCAAAAAAGGCTATCAGCTTTTGAATGAACTTTATTCCATTGATTTTTGGTGCCCTTATAAATTCGAATATATTTTGCAGAAAATGTACACAAAACTATGGCTTATAGCTAATCAATTACTAGCAGATGTCTTCTTTACCATTTACATTTGAAGAAAGTGTATCTTTTGAGTCAGCGTTTGGATTTATACGTGCAACGTCCAGTTGAGTAGCATCATATATGTCCATTTACTGATGCTGCTTAGAGAGTGCACGACAAATTCCCCATCAATTGCAGAATTTCATGTGAGCTATATAGTAGCTTACTAGTGGCATAAAGAAATTTGCAATTCTTATATGAAAGACATACAGCTTATAGACTATAAACCCAAAATGCAAATTCAACCGTAGATCGGGTTTAGAGGACTAAAAACGTTTTCAAAACCGAAATATGACATTTTTTGGAATATAAATCTAAAGGGAACGGCATTTTCTACTAAGTGAGTATGCAAAATAATATTTTTTTTGGTTTTCTGCGAAATGTACTTTAATTTATAAGACCGTCGAAAATAACTGTAATAAATTCCAATTAAGTAAGTAGTCATTTTAGCTAGTAATATTTTTGCAGGACGATAAAAAATGCTTTAAAATCTCGCATCTTGACGGGCTTGGAATAATCAATATTATTATAACCTCATTTAAGTTATCATTTCAACATTTCGGTTAGTATTACATAAAATCGCATATGGACTGTACGTGATTGTGATTTAATAGAGACTGCAAACTGACAAACACGTTTTGGTAGCAGAAAAGATGTGAAAAATGGGCCGGAGACGGCAAAATTGCTTTCGTGAGCGAAAAAGATCTGTGTAGCAGTCTCCGGACCATGTTCTGATGGGTTGATATGGTCTAGATACCCGACAATATGCACGTGCACATGTTGATTCACAGTTCGTCCACTCGCACCATGTCCAGCCTGGTTCTCGAATCCGATTTGAAAGAAGGAGAGTCTGCAGCCTCCCAAGAGTAAGAATACCCTGTGGTTTGTACGTAAAAGCTATTACAGACTGACCTTAGTAATTAAAGTGATCGAGTCATTCGCTAGCTGACGATTTTACCAGCCAAGACTATCAGTTATTAAATGTGCTTCGCCAGTGACAGTAAAGAAGCTGTGTGTGCTAGGGTCGAGCCCGGTCATCTATCCGAGCGCGGTCAAGTGGACACGCAAAAGAGTGATAGGGGTTATTATCTCAGCCAAAGTCGACAGAAATGCATTACTAACGAAAACAAGGGAGACTGGGATGGTCATTTTGGTTTATTAGCCGTTATCTGCTAAACATACAGAACCCCAGGTGCTGCGGCACGCAGAGGCTCGAACCCACGACCTTGTCGTTTAGAAGTGCAAAACGCAAACCACTGCTTTTGTTTATATATATATAGCTATCAACAGGATTGTCTCAGATAAATTCACCACTCCGCCATAGCAAGCCTGCGTTTTATCTAACGAACATGAATGCAAAAGGAGTTGCATTAGTTCTTCTTTTAGGGAAATTATAAAAATTGATTTGTAATTTTTTAAGTTGGCTAATCAAGCAATACAAAATTGTAGAAGATAAGTTAGCTACGGTGGTTTAAATAAAAATAAATATGTGCGGGATAAAAGGGCGCCTGGAGGTTTGGCTGACGTAGGTCTATTACATTCTGTATTACTCGTTAATTTTTTTGATAGGAACTACACTGTAGTCCTCAAGAAAGCTGTGAACTTTTGACGCGAATAGACGTATTAACTAGCAGGAAACTGTCGGTTGGAAAATAACTTAAGTTTCGAAAGACGCTCTATGACATTAGAGAGGGGACACACCAGTAAGCTAGGCCAAGTTTTAAAAAGTCTCTCGACTTTTGCTTCCTCAAAATAAGAAGGCCAAGCTTCTCAGTCCGCGCCGATTTAGCCGTGGGGAGCAAAGACAGTTGGGGCAAGTCCGGAGTTAGTTAAGGAATTTTCGCGATCGTTTACATGAGTTACAGCGCTGGATAGAATTTTCAGTGTGAATTCAACGTTTCAAAACGCGTGGGTTATTGTCCGACCGATTCCGGAGGGAAAAGGGGAGGAACTGAACATGCTAGCTACTCTTTACTTCAGATGCAAGAGAAAAGGCTGTTTAAGGAAAGATTGGGGCAGAAAGCAGTTGTTATGCTGAAGTTTTAAGCAAGGGTGTTGAGATGCCGTGCAGAGGCTGTTAAGCTCATCACTCAGTTGAAAAGCGAACTTATGTTGAAATTCGGTTTCAAATCATTCAAGACATTAAATTACGATCACGCTAACGCTGTACTGACTATAAAGAGTGTCCCGTTTCCAGTACTTTGCAAAGTAAATAAACTCTATCAGAGATATATAGAAAAAATAAGTTTCGCAAAAATAATTAAGGGTAGAAATGCCCTATGAACAGACTGAAACATACAAATTTGAAGCAGCCTGTTTTTTGGT